ATATTATTGTTCTTTCTGGAAGGAGGGAGAAGTGGAAGAAATAGTTGTAAAAGCAGAAACTGGATTGGAAATAACTAAAGAAAATCTACAAGGATACAGAGAAGAAGCAGTCATGGACTTAATTGTGACTTTGGGATGCAATTTTAATACTTATAGAAATGGAAAATTATGGTATTGCACTTCAAGGGAAGCAATTGGGAGACATTATTGCTCTTTCTGGAAGGAGGGAGAAGTGGAAGAAATAGCTGCAAAAGAGGAAACTGGATTGGAAACAACTAAAGAAAATCTACAAGGATACAGAGAAGAAGTAGTCATGGATATTATTGCTCTTTCTGGAAGGAGGGAGAACTGGAAGAAATAGCTGTAAAAGCGGAAACTGGACTGGAAACAACTAAAGAAAATTTATAAGATTACATAGAAGAGGCAGTGATGGACTTAGCTGTGATTTTGGGATGCAATTTTAAAATACTTATAGAAATGGAAAATTGTGGTATTGCATTTCAGGGGAAGCAGCTGGGGGATATTATTGCTCATTTCTTAAGAGTATCTTGTAATGAAATGATACAGGTCCTATTAAGGGATTAATTTTAAAGAATTTATTAACATTTTGGGATGTAATTTTAAAGAAATATTAACATATGGAAAATTATAGTACTGCATACCAAGGGAAGCAGTGGGGAAAAAAATAATAATGATGGTTTAGATTAAAAATTGATATATCCTTTTTTTATTATTATTATTTTAAAATATCATAAATATTTGATTATGGTGTAGGTGAGATGGTATATTATATATAATTGTAGGGGTGATGGAATGTTCTATACATAATTGATAAATTGAAGATATGGCAAAGTTTTTTGTATGATTAAGGGATTGGTGAGGATGGATTGGTTATATTTAGATAGATTATATTAGCTTATATTTGATTATTTCTTTACGAGTTAAAGTATGTTTATATTAGATTAGTTTATATTGGGTAGCTTTATAGAGATTTGGGAGGATGAATGCTTAATCCTGTAATCAGTTCTGGGAAGTCCAGGGGGGGGGTTAGGGGGGGAATGGGGCTGGGAGGGAGTATAGAAGTAGAGTTAATAGCATTGATTAAAGGGGGGAGTAGGAAAAAAAGAATAAAAAAAAAAAATACTTCGTGTGATCTTGATTCTCTCCCTTTGTAAATGCAACCTAGCACTGTGTTGGCTTTTTTGGCAACTGCAGCACACGACTGGCTCATATTTAATTGATTGTCCACTAGGACTCCGAGATCCCTATCACAGTTACTGCTATTGAGCAGAGGTACCCCCTATACTATACCTGTACATTTGGTTTTTCTTGCCTAAATGTAGTACCTTACTTTTTTCACCATTGAATTTCATGTTGTTAGATAGCGCCCAATGTTCAAGTCTGTCAAATCCTTTAACAACTGTGTTAGTACCTGCAGAGATTTACCTAACAGCTATGGCAGGAAAGGTGGTAAAATGGGACAAAACTCACGTAACTGTCTCGCTTAGCAAATAGGAATTTTGGCCACAATTGTGACCTTATGTCAAGGATTTTATGTTATGTTGTCCACAACTTGCCTCTCAGAATCAGTTTTTAAATCTTTTATTGTCTCCTTGCATGTGTGTTATTCCAGCCTCCCCTCTCTCTGTCTCTCTCTCTCTTTTTCTTTCTTTCTTTCTTTCTTTCTTTCTTTCTTTCTTTCTTTCTTTCTTTCTTTCTTTCCTTCCTTCCTTCCTTCCTTCCTTCCTTCCTTCCTTCTTTCTTTCTTTCTTTCCTTCCTTCCTTCCTTCCTTCCTTCCTTCTTTNGTTTTCTTCAGGAAACAGTTCCCATATCTTTTTGAAACTCCAGAAACAGTCTGCACAGAATTTGAGTCATTTAAAAGCACTAGTAATCAATTGTTTTGATACTTATTAAAAGAGAGAGGATTTGGATTAGTTCTTCTGTTTCAGGTTTGTTCTTCTTATATCAAGATATTCTTAATTACTGACATTTCAGGGGCAGGGGGGTTGCATTTCTTTCCTTCAAGTTAATAATTAGCTAGTAATACAGTTTGCATTGAAGTTCTGATTTTTTTGTTCCACAGTTAACCTGCTCAGTGAATCTGGATATACCTCATTAGAAAATATAACATGTTTTTTTAAAGATTATCTCCAAACACAAAACATTTATTATCAGCCTATAATTTTGCCAGATTTCAATATTTTATAATTACCCTTTCCCTTTTAAATTATATCTATTTTAGTTTTAGCTATTACCTAGTCAAATTCAGATAATTAAAAACCTTGCAAGCAAAATGACAGCTAGCAGATTTCAGCTGCAAAAATCCAGATGACTACAAGATAGGAATAAAGAATTAGAATTGTTCAGCTTCAAACTAAAACTGATTTTGATTTTATTATTATATATACAGTATATTTCATTGTTTATAATCAGTTTGTGTGTACACAAGCTGAGTATGGTATATAATCTACTGTTTCTTCTGTTCTTTACATAGTCTCACTTTGAATGATTTGGGATTTTTCAGTTCTGACCTTGATTGCATTAGTTTGGTTAGCTTGCTCTTGGGCAGCCAAAATATAATACTGATTAAAATAAAACATTAGCACTCATTAAACTTAGAATTTCCCTATACAGACCTGTCGTGTTTGTAAACTATTAGTGATTTATTTGCAGGGGATTTCCAAAAAAATCAGGCAGAACTGCCAGGATTGCATCTGATGAAGAAATTCAGGGCACAAAAGATGCTGTTATCCAGGACCTGGAAAGAAAACTTCGCTTCAAGGAAGATCTCTTGAACAATGGCCAACCAGTATGTAGCTTGAAGCAATATTCTAAACAGTTTTCTTACTTTATGTACATTTGGAGAGAATTTAACTTTGCATTCATGTGGATTTCAATTTTATATGGTACTGTATTCTATTATAGTAGGAGAAGGAGGCAGATTTTCAAATAACAGAACTGAGCTGCAAGATCCAAATTGAAATATTCTCTATTGTGGTTTTTTATCATGCACTGAGATTGAGTAAGATATATGGGGCCCCAATCCTTATTTTGTACTTGGAAGTTTCCTCCACATGTAATGGAATCTTTCCTTCCAACTTTATAATTACTAGATCTGGTAAATGTTGCCTCTGATTGGTCTATTTATGGTTTCTTTGAATACAGTATGGCTCTGGTCTGTCTTTTTATATTGCCCCAGGATTCTTACATTATCATTTTTTATTTAATCAATTTATATTACATTATTACTTTTCAGCATAAAGATGTAGGCTACTAAGGAAATTTACTTTTGCAATTAGCAGGGTAAGTGGGAAAATGTTTAATGAATACCAAGGAACATTTAAGTTTCAGGTCCGTTCCCACTTTCTTAAAAGGGAAAGATTACTTCATGGGCTTTCAACAAAAAGGCAATAAATATGTTTAACACCTATGGAGGCTGCAGGAGTCAGGCATGCCTATTGTGTAAGTAAATTATATAGCCAGGACATGGCTGGAATCCCTGCATGGTTCACTAGCCAGGACATGGCTGGAATCCCTGCATGTGATTCACAGGTAAGTACTATTGAGTGAGTTTCTAGGATCACTTCCAGCAATTAGAATTTCATGTTCTAAATTATAGCTGTAAATGTTGACTATAGTTAATTGATCATCTGAAAAATTCATCTGAAATACTCATACTTGCTTTAATTTATATCTTATATTTTCAAAGTTCTATAAAGGGGAAATAAAACTTATGCTCCTTCCTGTCCCACATTCCTCTTTTGGTGTCAATGCTTTTGCAAAATTTAGACTTCGTCAGTAAAAATCTCTAAACAAGGGAATTGTTTCTATGGTATACTTGCATTAATGCACATACTATATAAAGTAATATAGAATTATTATACTGGAGTTTTATATTTTGTCAGGATAATTAATAGCTAAACAGCTTATGTAAAGATGGAATATGGATGATGCAATATTAGGAATGACTCAGCAGAGTCTGTGTCTGTGCCTTTAAGGGCTGAGTATAAAAGGGGAGTTTTTACTGAAGTTTTTTTCCTCTCATCTGTTTGACTGCTGTAATTGCTGTGTGTTGGAGTTTGCTGTTTCACCACATGCATGTATTTTGTTTCTAGTATATTGTAGACATTGTAATATAAACCACCATTTAATTACAAACCACTATTTACTGTATTTACTCCTGGGTTACCTCAACGCAATAAGACTGCATGCTCTGACAGGTTATGGGCCCAGAGTGAGGAGAAACCCAGTGAGAGTTTGACCCAGAGCCAGAGAAGTTGAGGCTTGTGGTTTGTTGTGGTTTAAAGAAGCAGGCAACATGGCTTCCATCAGTGTACTAGGAGGAGATTTTGCAGTATCTCATTTGAATGAGACAAACTATCTCTCCTGGAGTCTGAAAATGGAGATGTACCTGTGAAGGGAGGAATTGTGGATGATAGTTGCTGATCCATCTGCAGCCCTGGATGATGGGGACCAGAGAAAGAACTAGAAAGCATTGCCCAACATAATCCTGAGTTTGGAGGATAGCCAGCTGATACACGTGAGGGGTCTTCAGTCTGCTAAGGAGTGCTGGGAAGCTTTGTGCAATGTGTACTTGAGAAAGACTGCGAGCAGCAACGTTATACTGACAAGAAAGCTATATAAAGCATAGCTGAAGCCAGGAGAGAGCCTGTCTACGCATTTGCAGTCCAGGAGGAGGACATTCCTAGAATTAGAGGAAAGAGGAATGACTTTCACTGAGTCACATAAGGTGTATGTGGTGCTCAGTTCATTGGACAATTCATGGGACGTCCTAGTGGCCAGTTTAGAGTCCATGCAGGAGAAGGACCTAACCATGAGTTATTTGACTGGCCGGTTGCTGGAGGAGGAACAAAAATGTCTGGAAAGGCAGCAGAGAGGGGGTGACGACAAAATACAGCCCAAACCTAGAGCTGCTACGTCCCAAGGTGCCGGCAGAGCGGCTGAGAAAGTTTGCATGATGAAATACTTCTTCAAGTGAGGTTCTACATAGCATCTCCAGAGATGCTGCCCTGAGAGGAGAAACAGGGGAGCAGCGAGACAATTGACATTTTCTGACAGAAATGTTTAATTACTTTGAAGTATGAGTTGAAATTTGGAGAACATTGTTCATGTATTTATTGGTAGAAGATGCAAATGTGTCATTCTTCTGATTTAGAAGTTAACATATGAGGAAAAGATGGCTCGTCGATTGCTGGGAGCTGACAATGCTGCAACAGTCTGCAGTATTCAAGAACCAGAAGAGGAACTTGCAGAACAGGTACTGCAATTTATCTTTCTACTCACATAATAAAATAGCAATTTTCTTGTTAAAATATGGGTTTTTTTAGGAGTGATGACAACATTGCCTGCTTTTGAACATAATTTTTAATCCAGGTAGGTTGATAAACTTTTTTACGGTCTTTGACCAGCATGTAATCTGGTATTATTAAACAATGACCCGAACAAGCTAATCTAAGGTGGTTCATGTAAAAAAACCCTAAACCATAACAGTTAAATTCACACATCAATTAACACCCTCTTCACATTATTGCTTAATTATGCAGGCCAATGTTTGTTTTCTTAAAGAGATTCATACTACATTGCATATTTATAGGCCAGCTTCATATTTCTTTTCCGCCAAGCCTAGCTACCTAAATGAAGTTGAATTGCAAGAAATTTTGGATTCAGTCTAAATGAATTCAGTCTTCAGGATTTAATCCTTTGATCAAAGTTATTTGGTGTACCAGTTATAGGTAAATTTCACAGTATCATGATATCAAATCTACATACATTTTTTGTGTGTATGGGCTTTATTATACCTTGATTCTGCTTTTTAATAACACTCCAGCCTTAGAGAGGGAAACATTGGCCTGGTTATGCTTATAGCTAAATGTTGAATGCCCAATAGGTCTTCAATAAATGGTGTGCTAGTAACCCACCCAAACTGAGTTTGTATAGATTGAAATATGTTGTCCAAAACAGAAACAGGCTTTTTTTGATGAAAATTATCCTAAGAACATAGTTGTGTCTTCTTTTATATTTGCTTATGCCTATGTTTTGCATTTTGTTTTGATCAAATAAAGAGTACATCTTGAATTTGGAAAACATATTTAATGAAACATGGATAGCTATACTTGTAGCTGTGCCAAATCACAAAACAGTCAACACTAAACCATAAATTTGATTAAAATGCTATATTAACTTGCCCTGTGTTTTTGTCACGACAACCAAATGGTATATTAATGTAAGAATTTTGAAATAAAGAATTGCTAATAATCATGTTTTTTTAGTACTGTATGATGCTTTTCATGTCTGCAAATTCCTCTTTCTACCATTAGCCTGAAGATGAACTGTCCATATGTCAGAGACTAGGGAATGAACAAGGGATGCTATTATATTAGATATAAATTAGCCATCTTCAGTTACTAATGGCCTTCTTTATGGGTAGACAGTCAACATTCCTTGTGTTGGATTCAGGTCTTCAAAGTGCACTGAAAGATTACACATTTGCTCCGAGGCTATCCTTTCATGATTTGTCTACATGGAAAGGAATATCTGAGGTCCTTTCTGTGGCATTTTTCTAAAAAGACAGTAAGTGATTTAGTTGTATAGTAGGTAGATGTAAACAGCCATAAAGTATGAAGTAATGGAGGAAATGTGGATGTAGGTTAATTTGAAGCAGAAATGGAAGGTTTTATGGGGATGCCAGATTGTTTTGCTGTTGGAATTGTTGCAGGCCAAGACATTTATAACTGCATAGCCAAATATTTGATTATTTTTACAACTAGAAAAATATGGAATCTGCATTTGGCTTGAACAGAAAACAAAATCAAGATGATTTTGTTCAAACTCTTGCATGATTGCAGGCAATTGTAATGCAGAATATAGTGCTTCTTCTTTAGCTGATCACATGAAATAACAATTTTAAGATTTCTTTCAATTTTCATTTCTTCTCTCCTGCTTTTTCATTCCATTTCAACATCAAATATAGTCTGCATATTAAGACAACTTTTTTTAGTACAGAAGAGCAAGAAACATTTCTACACTTTAATGAAATGAGTGGCCATCATCATTTATAATCAATCCTGGGAAACAATTTGTCTGAGATTATTGCAAAGTTCTCTTACAGTTCTTTTAGTGTCCATATTTTTTCTGCTTTTACAGGGAACTGATTCTGTTGATGCTTCTATAGTGACTCATGAGGCTGTGCAAAAGGTTCCACTTTCCTTTTTTCTTGCTTTACTGTCTGTTGACCTCTTGCTACTTCCTCTTTTGGCATTGCAATGCTGTTTGCAGAATTTAATATTTGCTTCCTTTCCTTTGCATAATTCACTAACACTGAGATTTAAAGCTACTCTTTACTATGTAGTAAACAGGTCCATTTCAGATCATTTTTAGGGAGTACAGTTCTCTAAATCCCATAAACAGAATGGGAATCCATTCAAAATATGTTCAATATTTAAAATGATCAAATGGATTATTTTGCATTCTACTTAACTACTTAAATGTAATCTAAGAAGTTATTTCAATATTTCCAGTCCTTAAAACAGAAACATTGTGATCTAACTCATATATCTTATTATATATGCCCATTGCTCAACTAATATATTTATTTTGTTTTGCTTCACAGAATATTATTTAAAATGTGCAGACCTGTATATCTACATTTTTAAATAAAACCTGGAAAATTGAAATAATTATAATCTCATTAAATAACCTGCCTGATAAAATGACCTTAAAGACCTAACTAACTTGAGTTTTCTGTTATTTATAGGAATACAAAGTCTCCAGTTTTGAGCAGAGACTGATCAGTGAAATTGAATTTAGATTGGAGAGAACTCCAGTAGAAGAGTCTGATGATGAAGTGGAGCATGGGAAAGATATTCTTGATGGCAGCCTGGCCCCATATTTTGTGACAAAACTTAAACACTACAAAATATTTGAAGGAATGCCAGTCACTTTTGTATGCAGAGTTTCTGGAAATCCAAACCCAAAGGTGAGGGAAAAAATGTTTTGGACAGTTCACACAAAACATCAAAGGAATCTTTCATAGAGATTCAGAAAAATGTGTTCTTTGGGTTTTTCTAATTTCCTTAAAATGTGACAAGTTCACACAAGTTTTGAATACATGGAGTTTTTCAACTCATATCAAAACTGTTGTATAGTATAAACACCATAAATGATGAGAATGTTGTATTCTCCAGCACAAGAGATGGATAATCCACCAATGGGTTAACTCAATCCTCCTGCCCAATCAGATCAAGTCAGCCAAACTTGCCACGCCTGTCCTGGGCCAGTTTTCCCAGTCTCGACTTGATCTTGCCCAGAACAGACGTGCATGTTTGGCTCACAGGCAGGTATATCTTAATCTATTGGTGGATTATCCATTAGTCCTTCTAGTCCTCTGAGTAGCGCTGGGACCTGACGCACATACATTCCGGTCTCCGACCACCCCACGGGGCCAGCACCTGGCCCCAGAAGCCACCTTCACACCCATGGCCGCGAGACTCAGAGCGGATGAGTCGGCCCTTCCTCCCCTAGAGAATCAGCTCCAAGCCCTGGTTGCTCAGGCGATGGAGAGGGCCCTCGCGGCCAGGTCTCCATCGGTACCCAGGGCGGATTCCTTGCTTTCCCTTCCACTCTCTCGCCCAGCTCATCAGAGTTCCCACGATCCCCCCTCCCCCTCCCATTCCTCATATAGTGGGGTTTCATTAACCCCGGAGCAGGAGCAGGCGCTTGACGCCTCATGGTCAGAGGAGGAGGAATCGGCCCCGGATCTGCCCCCGTTCGGCGGTCTATTTAATCCATCTCTCTTTTTACCCCTACTTCGCAATGCTAGTTCTGCAGCACACGTGGGACCTGACCAGTCCGCTCCAGCGATGTCTGCACTGGACTCAGAGATGGACCCCGTTTTCATCGAACCGGTTGTCACCCAACACCATGTTCCCTGTCCACCATTATTCCTCAATGCAGTTAAGAAACAATGGGCTTCCCCGGGTACCTTTCCTCTTCCAGGTGGGAACGATAAAAAGCTGTTTAGCGTGGCCTCAGATTTAGCAGAGGCACTGGATATGCCCACGGTGGATGAGCCTCTGTCTCACCTTTTCTCCCCTACCACTATTTCAGGGGATATGTCTGAGGCCTTAAAAACTGAGGAACGCAGATCGGAGCTGGCATTTAGGAGAACACACCAGGCAGCGGCATGGTCTATCAGGGCCGCTACTTCAACCTCGTTCTTCTCTAGATCTGCCCTTATTTGGCTTCGTCAGCTCCAGGCCAGGATTCCCCCGGATGATGTTCGCACGCATCAGGACTTGAGCAAGTTAGTGGCCGCAACAGAATACGCTTCCGATGCGACTCTACACGCTGCAAGGTTTTCCTCCAGGTCCATGGCGTCCAATGTAACGGCTCGTCGCATGCTATGGCTTAGGCACTGGCAGGCAGACGCCAAATCCAAGTGGCGTTTGGCAGCAGCCCCGTATCAAGGTAGCAAGTTATTCGGGGATGCCTTAGTCCCATTTCTGACCGAAAATAAGGATAAAAGGAAGATTCTGGCCCACCTTACCAAACGGTCCGATAGACGGACCAATCCTTATAACTGTAGACAGTTCTTTCGATCTGCCCCTACTCCCTCGACTACACAACCTTCACAACCCTTCACTCCCAGACAGGACCGTCCAGTCGATAGACCGGCTTCCAGACCCAAGAAACAGTTTCAGTCCAAACGGCCCTTTCGAGGTGGGGGACGTCCGTTCCGCAGGAAGTGATTCCAGAGTGGATCCTCCCATAGGGGGCAGGCTGTCCCTATTTGTCACCCAATGGGAGGTCACCACCACAGACGCCTGGGTCCTTGACATCATTCGACACGGTCTATCCCTGGAATTTACTTCAAGTCCACCAAGATGGTTCATTTCTTGCCCCCAATCAAAAAATTCAGTAAGGAGAGGTCTCATGCAGAAGGCCGTCCGTCACTTATTAGACATAAGGGCCATAGAACCGGTACCTCCGGTTCAACGGGGTCGCGGATTTTACTACATCCTCTTTGTGGTTCCCAAGACCTCGGGAGGATGGAGAGCAATCTTAGACCTAAAAGGCCTGAACTTTTATCTGGTATACCGAAGGTTCAAAATGCAAACACTTCAGTCCATCTTAGGCAGCATACGAAGGGGAGACTTTCTAACGTCCGTAGACCTCACAGAGGCGTACTTACACATCCCTATCATTCCCGGCCACCGCCAGTTTCTCAGATTCAGTTACATGGGGCATCATTATCAATACAGGGCACTCCCGTTCGGCCTGTTGTCGGCCCCAAGGGTGTTTTCCAAGGTCCTGGCGGTCCTAGCCGCACGCCTGAGGTTGGTGCCAATTCGGGTGCAATGTTACCTGGACAACATCTTAATCCAATCATCGTCCCCCCAGGAGGCTCAGTCAGACCTGCGACTGGCGATCGAGGTCCTACAGAATCACGGCTTTTCGGTAAACTTCAAAAAAAGTCAGACGGTCCCCTCGACCAAACTGCTTCACTTGAGAGCCATAATAGACACAATAGAATGTCGGGTTTATCTGTCCAAGGAACGCAGGGACAGCATACGGGACCTGGTTCTCAAGGTCTGCAGGGACAGGACTCTGTCACCCTTTGGTCTTTCCCTACTACTGGGAAAGATGATATCGTGCATAGTGATCGTTCCGTGGGCCAGGTTACACTCACGAACTCTCCAGTGGTTTCTGCTTCCCTACTAGAAGCAGGGTACCAACACTTCCAACCGAGAGGTAAGGATTCCTCCACAAATCTTGCGCTCGCTCAGATGGTGGATCTCTCCCGCCATGGCCAGAGGGTCTCTTTTCAAGGAGCCTGGTCAGCTCACGATCACGACGGACGCCAGTCTGTTCAGCTGGGGAGCACACTATCAGTCACAGTGGGCCCAGGTACGATGGTCTCGGTCAGACCTGTGGCACAATATCAATTGACTGGAGCTCAGGGCCACACATCTAGCTCTTCGTCATTTCCGCCACAGGATTGCAAGACAACATGTGTTAATCCTAACGGACAACATGGTGGCAAAGGCCCATGTGAACCGGCAGGGGGTACCCGATCCCGTGCCCTCCTGACCGAGGCCCAGCTGGTAGGCTCCTGGGCAGAGGCCAACCTTGGCTCGATCAGGGCAGACCACATCTCGGGGGAGGCAAACAAACGGCCAGACTTCCTGAGCAGGTCGACCGTGGACCATTCGGAATGGCATCTGCACCTGGATCTATTCAGAGAGATCTCCCACAGATTCGGCCTTCCCATCATAGACCTGTTCGCTTCCCAGGCAAACACACAACTGCTGCAATTCTTTTCGCGCTTCCCGGCTCCGGGGGCGGAGAGGGCAGATGCCCTTCGGGTTCCATGGCCGCAGGGCCTCTATGCCTTTCCCCCTCTTCCTCTTCCGGCGGTCATCCGCAAGCTTCTGCAAGAGAGGGCAGAGGTTCTCTTGATAGCCCCTTACTGGCTGCGGAGGCCTTGGTTCGCCGACCTCATCAGTCTTTTCCAGTCGCGTCCTTGGAGACTTCCTCCGGACCGGGTCTCCCTGATCCAGGGGGATCTGATTCACCCGGACCCTCAATGGCTTCAGTTAGCTGTATGGCACTTGAGCGCCGGCTCCTATCTCGGGAGTCCTGTTCACCAGGGGTCATTTCCATAATCCAGGCATCTCGTAGACCGGCTACCAACCGCATCTGCGATGCCACGTGGCAGAATTTTTGCCGGTGGTGTTCCACTCACCTCCTACCCTTATCGGATTTGACCATTCCAAATATTTTGGATTACTTACTCAAGGGTCTGAATAGGGGATTGGCACCTAATACATTGCGCAGACAGGTGGCAGCCCTTTCCACATTGATTACTTGCGACACTGTTAGTTCTCTGGGCCAACACCCCTTGATCCGATCTTTCATCAAGGGTGCAACTAATACTAGGCCTCCTGTCGTCCACAGATATCCCTCGTGGGAATTGCCTCGGGTCCTTCAGGCTCTCACCAAAGCTCCTTTCGAACCCCTCAGTTCGTGCGACATGAGATCCTTATCTCTCAAGGTCGCCTTCTTGGTAGCCATCACCTCGGCCCGGCGAATTTCTGAGATGGCAGCACTCTCAGTCAGGGATGATTTATGTATTTTTCACCGTGACTGTGTTACCCTTCGCTTAGATCCCACCTTCGTCCCTAAGGTTAACTCCCTATTTCACAGGGCTCAGGTTATCGTTCTCCCAGATTTTTGTCCTAATCCTTCCCATGATCTGGAACGACAATGGCATTCCTTGGACGTTCGCCGGGCTCTCCGTCACTATATCAAGCGGACAGCTGCTTTCTGCAGCTCTGAGGCACTCTTCCATCCTTCCTCCAAGGGTCGAAAGGTCTCAGCCTCCACGATTGGCCGGTGGATAAGAGCTTGCATTGCACGGGCGTATCAGTCCGATTCCTTGCCGGTTCCACGTCGAGTCATGGCTCACTCTACGTGTAGTGCAGCCACATCTGCGGCTTGGGCCACTCAAGCTTCCATCGAGGAGGTGTGTAGGGCGGCCACGTGGTCTTCGCCTTCGCCGTTCATACAGCATTACAAACTGGACAAGTACGCATCCACAGAGGCCTCCTTTGGCAGGAGGGTTCTGCAACAGGTGGTGCCCCGTGACACTGTTCCAAACTTGCCCGCTTCCCTCCCTTAAGGACAGTGGGCTTTGGTATGTCCCATTGGTGGATTATCCATCTCCTGTGCTGTAGAAGGGGCGTTGTCTTACCTGAACGCCTTTTCTCAGCACGGAGATGGATAATCCACTCCCATCCATTTAGGTCCTTAGGCCTAGGGTTAGGTTCTGTGAGCCAACACGTCATGCTGTCAGTCAGTAGCTTCGCCCTCGTCAAGACTGGGAAAACTGGCCCAGGACAGGCGTGGCAAATTTGGCTGACTTGATCTGATTGAGCAGGAGGATTGAGTTAACCCATTGGTGGATTATCCATCTCCGTGCTGAGAAAAGGCGTTCAGGTAAGACAACGCCCCTTCCAGTCTATATGCTTTCAGGTTTTTCTTAAGTGTTCAGTGAACTGGAAGGTCTAGTAGATCTTTGTGGATGATCTTTGGAGCTTTCCCAGCATGTAGTTCTCAGTTCTGCTGGTTAGAACTATAACCTAAAGGGTATTTTTCTTAATAATAAACATGTAAACAATACAATGCTTCTGTTCTAATCTACAACACACTTGACATGGCATCAGTTCAGACATGCTTTGTAACACATGTAGCAAAAGCAAACAAGTTTAGTATTTGCCAGACTTCAATTCATGATCTCGTTGGCTGAGACAGAACAGGAATTAGAAACCTGAGGCTTCCCTGATGGCTTGAAATATTAATGCCAACAGCCCAAGGCCAGCACAACTAATAAAGAAGCATGCCAAAGCTATAATTCAGCAATACATCATGTTTTTCCTAACAAGTTCATTGGTACTTGTCCTCAAAGAGCAGCAAACCCTCCTCTATATGTGTATAGTCTTGGTATTTCTTAATCCCAGATAAGTGAATTTTATAAATTCTAGCATTCTTTTTGAGGTGACATTTTGTTGGACTTAATGGAGCTAGAGTGGAGGGTAGACAGAGCTACCCATTCTAATAACTGCTTTGCCTCAATGTGCCATTATTCTCTGCCACCTTTTCTCTCTCTGCCAAGCATCAGGATGCCAGTATAGTCCCACAGCTCTGAAGTGCACTGGACTGAATGCCTGGAAAAAGCTGCTGAAATTAGGAGTAGTGCTACCTGTTGCCATAGGGTTGTTGTGAGATCACAAGGCATTGCAATTTTATATAGGAATGCATCTCAGAATGTGTAACTGAACATCATTATATTTGATATGCATGTTAAGCAACCCCATTGTGCTTAATTTAACTTGTTTCCTGTAATTGCTTTATTTTATTAGAAGCCTGAGGTTATACTGCAACATAGTGTTTTGGTACAGTGGTGTTCATAGTGATCTAGTGCAGTCTTTCTCAACCTTGGCAATGCTAAGTCATGTGGACTTCAATTCCCAGAATTCCCCAGCCAGCTTTGCTACGGAATTCTGGGAATTAAAGTCCACATGATTTAAAGTTGCCAAGGTTGAGAAACACTGATCTAGTGGATAGCATTTTTGCTTGTTGTTGCATTTTCCTCCCAGATTCTAAGATGTGAATAACCAGTACAAAACTTATTTCTCATAAATATGCATTCATGAAAGAACATGTATTTCGTGTTCTAAATGATACATGAATTCTAAGGGACCTTGGTCTTTAGGAGTTTGAAAGGAGGAGAATTTTTTTCAGTACTGTGATATTTGAAATTATGTCGTCTTTGTTATTATTGGTAAATTCCTAATTATAAAATGGAACATAAATGTATATGTGTGTATTAGCTGATGCTTTTACTAGATATCAGTGAACAAAAGGATTCTTTCCATTAAGTCTGGTATTAAAATATATCTGAGGATAATATATGCAGAAGGAAACTGCCTTAAAGATAAACTTCAAAATTTTGAGATTCTGACATTTAGTTTCCTGCATTTTATATTGATAATTTTTTTACTCCCCCAAATTTAAACTGCATGTGGTTGATAAAAAAAAAGATGTTTAACTTGACAAAGGCAACATGCAGTCACATGAAATAATTGTAATTTCCTAAAGGAAAAACATTTAACTACATATAGAATATTCTTGTGGGGCAAGAGGAAGGAATGATATATTAATTGCTTTATAACTGAATTAACAGTAAAATACCACACTCAGTCATGTTAATCTAGGACACCAAGCATAAACTCCTTTATGTATCTTAACTTGCTTAATTCTTGACAAATTTCCAGATTCTGTAATGAAAGAAGTGTATGATAAAATAATTACTGGCTCTTACAAGACCAACATTTATGAGATAATACTAGGAAATCTGCGTAGTGTGCAAGTTCAAACTTATTTTTGCTGTTAAGCCTTTGCTAAGATTAGGCTTTACAAACAATAGCACAACTTTTTATTTGAAACATAAAAACTGTGCCATCACATTGCTGTATTAAGCCTTGTTGGCAATCCAGCACATAAAATTAGTAAGAGACGGACCAGAAAAACATTATCTTTGCAGTAACACAGTTCTTGTCAGTATCTGGTAACCTTATATGGAAGTGTGAAACTCGGTCTGTATTCCTCCTTTACTAGGTATTGTTAAAATTTAATGATAGCTTTATGCCATGCATTGAAATAAACCATCAGAAAAATGAAGAACTTGTAGCATATAACAGTTTAGGTCAGGATCATTCTGCTTTTTATTTTTCCTTGGAAATGAAAATGATACAATGATGCTGCTTTCAGAGTGATTGACTGCATTAAAACTGTTTGCAGTTGTCATGAAAATTGGCACAGTCTCTTAATCATTCCTCCTGTGCCAGTTCTTCAAAAGGCTTTTGATGGCATCTTTCATTCAAGTCCCCCCAAATTAAAGATCTTCCTGTGAGTTTTTCCTGTATTATCGCTTTATCTACCAACATCTGACACAGCCAGTGATGAGGATACCCTCATTCATTCAGAGAAAGAAGTAATGGTGTAGGTGATCACCAGGTCAGGTCAGTTTCTACAGCTGGGGACCACAGATATCTGAAACAATAGAAAACTTTATTTTGGTTCCTAATACCTATGATAAATAACCCAGTACTGAACGTACAGGTAGTTCTCAACTTATAACGTTTAGTGACAGTTCAAAGTTACAATGGCACTGAAAAAAGTGACCTAAGAAAAAAACCTGGGTGACAATATCTGGTAGAGAAACCATGGCAGAGTAGGATAATAAAAAAAACTTTCATTAATTGTTCAAGCCTAAATATTTATTGACTGGTATGATTTCTGATTGAAGCTTAATTGGACATTATGTTGCTGGCATGACTAGCAGTATAATGTATAAATGTTATGAGAAAAAATGTACATAGAAAAAGTATCAATATTTACTTTTTGGGCAATGATGAGAGAAAGTGGAAATTGTAATGCAGCAGTAACAAGAGAACTAATTTCTTCACCATCTTATACCATCTCAATCTGGAATTTTGCTTCAAACACAAATACATGCACCACTCATTGTTAAGCCAATGAAGTGAAATAGCTGTTTATTTTTCAATAATTTGTCCTAAGTCTGTAACAGAAGAAAAGACAGGAATTTATTCTAGATCCTTTTTATTTATTTATTTTCTGAGATCAGCACTTGTGTTTTGGGTTTTATTTCTCTCAATATAGATCTATTGGTTCAAAGATGGAAAGAAAATATCTAAAAGGAATGAGCACTACCAGATGCAAAGAGAACCTGATGGGACCTGCTCTCTCCATACCACTGCCTCCACCCTCGATGATGATGGGAATTATACTATCATGGCTGCCAATCCACAGGTAAATCAAGCCTTAGCTGTAGAATCAGTATGCTCCTGGGCACAGATGTTTGTTTACATTCACAATCTGAATTAAAGATTTAATTGAGAAATGATGTCATTTTAGGGCAAGTAATACTTAAGCCTTCTCAACTCATCTCACACTCATAATGCCAAGTTGAGAATACAGAGCTATTGGGGAATGATTCAAAACTGTTTCTTTAAGCAACTGTCCTTATATAGATATTACTAGGTAAACAAGCTACATTTGCAGTCTGATGTGCCTCTCTGGTTGGGCTAACCCACTGATCATTCAATACACTTCTACTTCTGATTATGTCTGAGTAGAACTATATATTATGAGGAAAAACCAGATTCCTCCCCATCTCTAATGGCAGAGTTCACTTTATTCATATTCTCTCATAGTAAAACCTATCACATGTCCTTATGCCCTGGTGAGTCCTTCCTCTCCTCTCCTCTCCTTTCACCCCCATCCCCTCCCCTCCCCTCCCCTCTCCTCGCACAATATACCAACAGGCAGTATGTGTTGTCTTTGTTGAGCTGACTGTGGTGCAGACAACAGATTTCCTAATGTTTTACCAGCAACCGTTGCTGGCATCTTTGAAGGCAAGCAACTGAGCAGGAACTGACTGGGCTGTTTCTGTAGCTAGATATTCTGACTATAAAACTGCATGTTAGTATATAGATATGATCTATCTATCTATGTTAGAATTGTCTGTGTCATGCCATCTAGTGGTTATTTAGCTAAATTTTGGTACAGTAATTGCAAGAAAATCTAAGAGTGAGAAAAGGAACAGTAGTGCTATTCGGTAAATTTGGTCTGAGAGCTGAAAATGAGGGAACAGATTAATTAGGTTGCAGCTATGATAGAAAAAGAATTTAATTGAGGCTGTCATACTCAAAGGTCAGCCAAAACTAGGAGTTGTCATAGGTCATTGCTGCATATCCTGTGCTCTGTTTTGTAGTTAGACAGCTGTTTGTATTTCTAAGTTTCTGAGTATTCATTGACCACCTCCTTTCTTGTTGGGCTTGCAACAGTTCTTGTGAAAGATCTGATTACACTACAATGGAAATAACTCCAAACCAAAAAAATATGTTTTTAACACTTTGTAGAAGTCTGTAAGTAACAACCTAAAGGACTATTAGAAGACTTATTGTTAAAAGAAGGCTATTCAGTAAAACTGCTCTACATTTATATAATTTTTCTCTTTTTAATTTCAAATGCTAGGGGAGAATAAGCTGTACAGGACGATTGATGGTCCAAGCTGTCAATCAAAGAGGACGCAGCCCCCGGACACCTCCTAGCCAGCCTCATGTCAGAAGGTATTATAATTAATTATGAACTTAGGAAAAATTTATGATTCTAATACTAATATAGGTAGTCCTTGACTTACAATCATAATTGAGTCCAAAATTTCTTGAGTTTCGCCCCACTTTGCAATCTTCCTTGCCACATTTGTTAAGCAAATCAGTGCAGTTGTTAAGTTAGTAACATGGTTGTTAAGTGAATCTCGCTTCCCCATTGACTTTGCTTGTCAGAAGGTCACAAAAGGTGATCACATGACCCCAGGACATTGCAACTGTCATATATATGAGTCAGTTGCCAAGCATCTGCATTTTGATCATGTGACCATAGGGATGTTGCAACGGTTATAAGTGTGAAAAACGGTCATAAGTTACTTTTTTCAATGCCATTGAAACTTTGAATGGTTACTAAATAAATTCTTTTAAGTTAAGGACTACTTGTATAACTATTTTTTTATCATTATTACTTTATTTAACGGTATTACTGACTGAGGACATACATAATTAGCTGGATCTCTGTACTTATCTGATGCTTTAAAAGTTGACTTTTCAAACTGAATCCATTTTCGGAGATGAAAAATTATACAAATTTTAGATTGCAGGAAAAATTCAGTGAGAAATATTGCATTACATAACTGAAAATGTGTTGAAACTGAACTGAGCTATATAATGTTTTAGTTCTTACAATATTTTTAATATTTATATGAGATTGTTACTTTTAATAATTAAGCTTTTAATTGCACCGTCAATAAAAATAACAAGCAAAACAAATATTTAGGACTTTTAGCTAGCAATTTCTTTTCTCAGTCTGTCTCCTGGACTACTGTAATGCATTTTGTTATTCTGTTATTGATGTGAAGATGTTTAGAGTACAGACCCAAAAAAGATGCAAAATCTCAACAAGGAATATACTGATAGTTGATTTGTAAATTATGAAACAGTTCTTGGCAGATTGCAATTCATTAAATAAAGTATTATAGTTCTGCTTGTCTGTCTATGAAGTAAATTAAATTGGAGTGGAGAAAAAAATCTTTTCATAATATGCTTGAACTTAGAAAGCAATTTGTGTTGCCTTTGCAACCATTTTTATAATGATATGGGAGTGAAATGCAGAGGTGATTATTTGAGAAGGAGAAATGGAGAACACTTGGAGATAAGTAACAGTAACCATGAATAGTTTTCATTGAAAGGGTTAACTAAATCTGCACTAATATCTGTTTGAGCTATATCAGTGTGAGTGCATTTGGAAATATACTAGGTTAATCTGGGGTGATTTACATATTATCTATAGACCACGGTCTCGATCAAGGGATAGCGGAGATGAAAATGAACCAATCCAGGAACGCTTCTTCCGACCACATTTCCTGCAGGCTCCAGGAGATCTGATAGTTCAAGAAGGAAAACTTTGTAGAATGGATTGCAAGGTACATTTAAAATTTTATTTTTAATATTGAACATATAGGTTACAGGTAGTCCTTGATTTATGACCACAATTGAGACCAGAATTTCTGTTGCTAAGAAAAGGAGTTATTAGGGGAGTTGTGCCTGATTTTATGACCCTTTTGCTAACTTTTTTGTTAAGCAAATCGCTGTAGTTGTTCACTGAATCACGTGGTCATTAAATGATTCTGGCTTCCTCCATTCCTCTGGGATGGCTGCAAATGGCAATCATGTGGCCCCAGGATTCTGTGACCATCCTAAATACATGGTCACCAAGCACACAAATTTGGTCATATGACCATGAGACTGCTGCAGCGGTTGTGAGTGTGAGGACTAGTCATAAATCCCTTTTTTTCCAGTGCTGTTGTAACTTCAAATGATTGCTAAATGAATGGTTGTAAGTCAAGGGCTACTTGTGTATTGAATGAATTTTATATGTGTATTATATTTTTACAAATATATGAAAATGATTTTAGATAATAAGGGATTGAGCTACACTTAAGTAAACATTATATATGTATATTATCCTAAAAATCATTGTTGGAGTAACTTGTCATATTAGGTCTGTATGAAGAAGTTATCTGGTAGAAAAGCGATATAATGGAATTTACTGTATCTGTACATAGAGGTGACAAAGACGGAAATTAACATTTTGTAAATATTAAATAAAACTCATTTGCCCTGTATATTCCTTTTAAGAAAGTTTTTAAATCTTCCAAAGGTAAAAACTAGTGAATTTCAATTGTATTTAGGTAACTCAGAATGTTATTGGAGTGCTATTAAAATGTTTCTCATAACATGGCTGCTAAAGCAACTTTGCCAAGCAATAATTGTTATTAATGATATTTATCATTCAGCAAACTGAAATTTGATTCATAGGATTCTGAATATGGAGTTTAATTTCCTGAATAGTGTACAGTTGAAAAGAATTTTTGTTCAATGAAATCTTTTCAACACATTCCTCTTTGAAGGTAACAATCAAGATATTATTAAATGTAAAACGATCACAAGGCATAAAATCTTTTCTTTCTGTGCATTGTGGTATTTAATTTTGTTATGGAACCTCTGTTCAAATAGAACTCGGTGATATCTAGGAATACTAAAATGTTTGCTCATGCAAGCATAAAAAGATGATGAATTTTTATCCATTTGTGGTCTTCTGGGATAACAAAATACAGTGCACTGAAATAAATAGTCACAACTTTTCTACAGTCTTTGTATACTTTTGCTTTCCTGAGGACTGTGGTGTATTTTATTTAAGGTCAGTGGCTTGCCAACTCCTGACATCAACTGGCAACTTAATGGAAGAGTAATACGTTCTGATAATTCCCACAAAATGCTTGTACGGGAAAATGGTATACACTCCTTAATCATAGAGCCAGTCACAGCAAGGGATGCTGGCATTTATATATGTATTGCCACTAATCGAGCTGGCCAGAACACCTTCAGCCTGGAACTGATTGTGACAGGTAGGACACTTGCATAATTTGAAAAAATGGATTTGAGTGCCTGAACGTAACTTATCAACTGTGGCTCCTTTCTCTATAATTCTTTTTAGCACACATTTTGCCATTTGACAAAAGTTTCCTGATTGTTTTTAAGCCTAATCAGCAATATTATGCTACTCATTCTCTTTGTACTTTGTAACAGTCCTGTAACAGGCTAGTATTAAAAACCCATATTATAGGAAATGGTAGATGACTATCTTGAAGGTGCCTAAGGTGTATATTGGGATGTAGTGACAGTTTATGAATAAGTTGCAGTCTGGCACATTGGAGCTGCCAGTTGGAACCTCTTTTTATAAAGCAGTGTCATACAGGAAGCAAGAAGCAAGAAAATTAGCCTCACTCTTATAACTGAATAAATGTAGATATCCAAGAGGGATGAATATAATCTATGCTGCCATCACTATTTTGGAACTACATAACAGATGTTTAGGAGATCTGGGTGGATTGTGTTCCAGCTGATGATTTGAATTCTTTACTGTATTATTCCAGTTGTAAGCAGCAAATGATTTGTTTGAAATGTAAATGCATTTGTTTATAGGGATCATTAAAATTAGCTTTTATGTGAGTAGCATCCATATTGCTATGTGATTATGTAAATGATCCAATGGGAAGCATTTGAGTGATGCCCATCAAGTTGGCACTTGGAGATAGTTGATCTCACTTTTATACAAAAAAGAGCCTTGAAGACGGCCATTGTCTGCAGTAGTTAGAATATCTACTATATTATGTGGCAGCCATTCATGTAAAACTAGCTCCAGAGTTAGAATATTTTAAAAGGCCTTATGTGAAAGAAAGAAAGAAAGAAAGAAAGAAAGAAAGAAAGAAAGAAAGAAAGAAATAGCTCTATATCCTGCAGAAGGTATGAAAAACTTTTCTTGGCCTATGTGTTTATCTGTAGGTTTCTATTAGAAAGCATTTATGAATGAATTTTGATAAGAGAAAAAAATCTCTGCTTTGTTTTTTTGATGAAATCCTGGCCATATTCAGACATAACAGAAAGCTCAAATTGCTAAGAAGTCTAGCTCCTTGTTCCATGAGCAGAATAACAGAGTTGGAAGGGACCTTGGAGGTCTTCTAGTCCAACTCCTTGCTCCGGCAGGAAATCCTATACCATTTCAGACAAATGGTTGTCCAGTCTCTTCTTTAAATCTTCCAGTGTTGGAGCATTCACAACTTTTGGAGGCAAGTTGTTCCACTGATTAATTGTTCTAATAGTCAGGAAATTTCTCCTTAGTTCTAGGTTGCTTCTCTTCTTGATTAGTTTCTATCCATTGCTTCTTGTCCTGCCTTCAAGTGCTTTGGAGAATAGCTTGACTCCCTCTTCTTTGTGGCAACCCCAAACTGAATGAACCACTGCTTGATTTCCTTGTTAGTAGAAGTGCCATTTCCCCCCCCCCCCGAAATTAACAAGGAAGCTATAAGCCGTCTGTTATGTCCCCACCGAGATATCTTATTGCCTCCCCAAAAGAATTAAAAAGCAAAATTTGAAGTTGATGGGGAAGTGGGAAATTGGGGTCTGGTTGTGAATATAATTAAAAGTTCTGACTTCTACATGAGCTTTTGTTTAATCACTCTCTGTGGGAAAACAAAGCCAAGTTGAAATAATTGGATGGTGTGCTTCATTATAGGAGAATCATCAGCAGTTCTGGCAAAAGATTATGTTTCATCATAGCCATTTGGCTAGACCATGGGCCTTCACTTTTTTTCCTAATACAAGTGTGAACATTGCATCTTCCTCAGCCCATTAGAAGCAGCAAATAAAGTTATATTTTCATTTTCCAAATACTTCTCTCTGTGAGGTACCTCTAGTGCTAAGAAATATTAAGAGAACATACACAAAATATATACTAATATAAAATATATATTAATATAAGGAGTGGGGGAATCTGTCTTTTCAGCTAAGGAAGCACACAAGCCACCTGTATTTATAGAAAAACTGCAGAATACAGGAGTGGCTGAGAGGTTTCCTGTGCGATTGGAATGCCGGGTTTCAGGTATGCCTCCACCTCAGATTTTCTGGAAGAAGGAAAATGAGTCACTCATATACAACACTGACAGAGTGAGGTTAGTTCCATATTCTGTTTATTAACTGTGTCACTTTTCTATGTTGAACATTTAAAGGTTTGAGCAACTGTATACATATCTAATACATGAACAGTTTGAGCCAATGATTCATTTACTGCCATTGCCTGGAATAAGTCATCTTATAGACAAATCAAGCCAGATCTAAGTAAATTATACACGTCTGTTAATTTTAAAATAACATTCAGAGCCTAAGAAAGGCTTTATACAAAAGAATTCATGTAGATAGGGATTATATGATAATACCCCATAGTTTACATTTCCACACCAAATGAATGGTGTGAAGCAGGAATCTGCATTGTTCCTATTGCTGTTGAACTTTTATTTTAGTTCTATAATTGAAACCTTCTAATGATCCACTTTTCTATCTTCTGAACATAAACAAAAATCTCTTTATTTAGTCCTAAATACAGATTATCTCATAGTACTTTCAATTATCATAATTGGTTTGAGAAGAGTTTATACCTGCTTAATATTTATTGCAAAATGAAACTTATTATCATAAATTGAAAGTTCTAGTCTTTGTAAACAGATCATGTTCAAATTGACCTGGTGAGTCAATATGATTTACGGATGAAAGCTGCACTGGGCCCTGAAAGTTACTGTATATTCAGTTCTGCCTTCTGTCTCAGGAGCTCACTGGATGACTTTGGACCAGTCACACTCCATCAGTTCGATGAAATATTATAGGATTCTGGTGGTAAAAAAAGAAATTGGAAGAAGAAGTGCTATGTATACCAATTAGACCTTCTAAAGGAAAAGTGGAATATACTGTAATTCTCATGAATATTTGTATAAGTACCCTCCAAAAGCTTGTGAACACTTGAAAGTGTTACATGTGGGAATGAGCATCTCACTATGCTTTGGATGCTTCTAGATTGAGATCAAGGATGATGAATTTAATATATTTAATATTAAATATTAGTCACAACAATATCTGGCGGTATCCCAAGGACGATAGAAATGAGGAGGCTGTGATACAGTGAGAGGATTTGAATAACCTGGCTCTTTTACATGACAACAAAATACCAGCTTCATTCAATAGTGGAAGGTGGTGCAGGGGATATAACCCAGATTTGATATTTCTGAGCGATCATATAATCCAACAATGTGTTAAAGTGGTTTGCCCACCTAGTCTAAATTCTCAGCACTGGCCAATTATGTATCAGGCTGTAGTTTCCCCTTTAGACATAGGTATAACTTTAAAAAAGCTGATTGACCTACATTTCAGAGATTAGTGGACAGTGCTGTTAATTTATAGCTAAACTAAGCTATTACGACAGGTTTGTGGTGGTTGTAAAAATGTTCCCAGGTACCAATCCCATAGGGCTGTAAAACTAACTATATCCAAGGCCTTAAGCAGAAACAAAGTATCTCACAGAAATATCTCACTCTTTTTGAGGTTGATCCTATGGTAGAGGACACAGTGAATGCAGGCCAGCAGTTAATTACTTCTATAGCTGAAGCTAAGAGAGAAAGATGGATTAAAACAATAGAGGAACTAGATATATGCATAAGTAGCCACAAAGTGTGGAGATTGTTGAGTCACTTGAATAATGACCCAAATCACTCTAGAAATTATGCCAATGTGACTGCAGACCAAATAGCCAATCAGCTTCTTAAGAACAGCAACCCATATCAAAGGCCACCAAAACATAAGATTAAGATCAACAGAAATGAGGAGGATGAAACAACTACATTAGCTTATTGTCCCCCTTTACTATGGAAGAACTGAGAGAGGCTGTAAGAAAGAGTAGGCCATGGAAAGCTGCTGGTTTGAATGACATCCTTATTGAACAGATAAGCAATTGGGGCGAAAAGCAAGATAGTGGCTACTAGAAATGTTTAATGAATGCTTGGAACAATGTAAGATTCCTGCTATCTAGCGAAAGGCTAAGGTTGCAGCAGTTTTAAAACCAGGTAAAGAAGCCAATAACCTAAGAAGTACCGACCAATTTTTCTCATGTGCTATACCTACAAAATCTTTGAAAGAATGGTTAACATTATCTCACTTTAGCTCTAGAACCCCTTCTCATACTGCAACAGGCTGAATTTCACTCCAAAAAAAATTGCACCACACAGATTCTCAATATAACCCAGTATATCGGATGTAATATAACAGGAACTATATTTATGATATGATGATATGATTAAAGATTTCAAACTTACAAATATCATTAGGAATCTGCTTCAGAACCACATATTTTTGTGGGTTCCAGGGAAGGCAAAGTAGATGGAAGAATCAAAGGGACGCTTACCATAGGGTAGTGTATTGGCTCCAATTCTTTTTAATATTTACATCAGGGGTCTTCAAACTCAGCCCTTATATGACTCATGGACTTCAACTCCCAGAATTCCTCAGCCAGGCACACTGGCTGAGGAATTCTGGGAGTTGAAGTCCATGAGTCATAAAAGGGCCGAGTTTGAAGACCCCTGATTTACACCAATGTTTGGGTACTAACAACTATATGTATACTGATGACTGAGCAATGGCTATAATGGAGAAACATTTCAGGAGGTTGAACAGCATTTAACTAAAGCCCTGGCAGAGTTGGATCGATACTATTGTGATAACCTGTTAAGGCCAAATCCAGTAAAAACTCAGATATGTGCCTTCCATCTTAGCAATAAGCAGGCTGCTAGGAAGCTGCATAGTATATGGAAAACGACTGTCAGAACCCATATCTGTTAGATCTCATACTTCCCTTGCTTCTCTCTCTGACCCAAATTCCATTCTCTTCTCTCCCTGGGTTCTGCCATGCTCCTAGATAGGAGGGGGGAATGATTACGGGTTTATTGCCTTAGCTTCCTCTGTCGCTACAATGTAACACTTTGCTCTCCTGCATTATTGCTTGGCTTCCTCTATTGCTACAATGTAACACTTTGCTTTCCTGCACTATTTCTCTGTGATTTCCTCTCCTTAAACTGTCAACTAGAAAAGGGGGGAGGAAGAAAGGAATGCAACCTCCGGTAACCAGCTTATCTCTCCGTTCTCAAGAGAAGGTGTGAAGAATCGCCTAGCCATCGCAGCTACAGCCAGAGCCGGCCTGAGGTTATCTCTCCTTTCCCACGATGGACAACACCTGGAGATTGGCCAGTTTGAACCGTCTGGATGAACTATGGGGTGGGGTTTGCTTGGGGACACTTCAAATTGTTGATCTGAGGGGGAAAAGCTCAGATCCTGTCTAGTATGCCTACTATCAGCTTCTCCTAATAAAAGTTCTTTCTGGAAGAGCTTGCTTCCATGAGTTCTGCTTTCTTGGGATGAGGTATTGAAGTGGGTCCTGACATTAGACAGGATCTGCAATAGTAGTCAACCCGGAAGGACGAAACTTGCCGGGGGAATTTGCAAAGTCTACCATGTCGGACACCGGTGCAGAGAAAGGGGAAGGCACCGCAAAAGGCAGCCCTCCGGTCGGAACCCTGCCAGCTGTCCGCCTCCGAGACATCCTACACCTCGGAGGAAGAGGTGGTGGAGACGCACAGCTATAAGCCTCACTGGTCCATGGGCGTAGGCAAAAAGGACGAGTGGGAGAAAAAGTTGAGAAAGGTGACGCTGAGGTGAGGCAGCCACCAACCGGGATGGAAGCAAGAGATGGAGAGGTCCCTGCACCTCAGCGAAGATGAGGACGATTGCAGGGAGCAGTCAAACTGGATCCTGGAGAAGGCGATTGACCTCATGAAATCCACCCTCATCTTCCTCAAAGATGAAAAGCCCGAACCCCGCAGCCGCACTGTTACCTTGGGCGGCAGTGAAAGAGACACTGAGGGGGGAGTCTGAAGCCGAGGCCCCAGGAATGTCAGGCGGAGCAGCCGAGACCACAGCCGTTGCAGCGGCAGCCCCCACTCCGCACGGTAGCTGCTGATCGAGATGGACGACACCACAGACAGCGACGTAGGCGTTGATCCATCCAGAAGTTCCCACCACTGGACGTGAAGTTCCGAGGAGAGCCATAGCGCCTGGGGTTCTTCTTAACCCAAGTCCTCAACTACATGGAAGAATATTCCCACCGACAAAGCTTGGATCCGCATTGTACAGACGGCCCTGGATGGTGTGGCAGCTGACTGGGTGGTAGACCTGCACAACTCCGACGCCCCAGAGCTCCAGAATTTCAACCAATTCATGTTCTCCCTTATACGACGATTCGAGGACCCGTTGGCAGACCAGAAGGCCCGTGAGATTAAAACGGTGAAGCAAGGCAGACGGCCAGTGGCCAAGTACACCCAGGAATTCCGAGCCATTGCTAGCAATCTGAATTGGCCGGAAGACATCCTGCTTATCCATTTCAAGGATGGGCTGAATTCTACGATGCCTGCCTTCCCAGGGGAGACCCACACTGATTGCACAATTGGTACGTCCTGGCAGAGGAAGCCAAGATTGACCTGCTAAAGAGACATCGCAGAGGGAAGCCGTGGAACCGATCACCCCCAAGCTGTCACGCGAGCCAGCGAGGTCTCAACCCACAGCCAAGAAGACCACCGGCTGTTTCAAGTGCGGGAAAGAGGGACATCACGCTGCAGAATGCCGCTCGAGGAAACCCCAGAAGGCCTCCGGACACCAGCCGGGAAGTCGGGAAGGTCACCTGCCAAGCTGCGAGAATCAGCCATGAGGGGCACTGAGGCCGAGTTCTCCCCTCCGCCCAACGGGGGAAGGGAACCCCGGTCTATGCCACGGGAGCATCCAACTCGTCAGACGACAACTCCGAGGACGAATCCCTGGTAAGTGGACCCATCGCGCCCCTCATCCGGACAGTGACTATCCTAGCCCCCTCCATGCCCGAAGCTGCAAAGGTTAAAGCCCTACTAGACTCTGGCTGCACGCATTGCCTTATTAGCCCAACGCTAGTGGGGACCCTGTGCATTCCGGTGAGGAGGCTGAACAAACCGATATCCTTCGGTCAGTTAGATGGGTCCATAGCAGGGGGAATGCCAGCCACTCTAGCCACACTACTGATCCACCTTACCCTGGGGGACCACGAGGA